ACTCCTCACCCTTTAGTGATGCTCCTGCATGATTACTTGGTCTAATCAGATATGTAATTTACATTCAACAGCTTCTCAGAACACAGCTGAGCTACCAGGTCATGTATTTATCATTACAAAATGGATTACTGCATCCCAGCTGGAGCTGTGAACGCAGGGGCAAAGTGTGTTTATATTGTTTCCCTTGAGTTCTATCAGCCATTGTAAGTGTCATGAAATCAGCAAGACTGTGTTGGAGAAGGATAATGCCTAATATCTCCAAGAAAACTGGGAAAAGTGTTGGAAATAGCAAGCATCTTCAAACCTCCACTAATTATTTGTTATGCATATAATTAAAATTGCTTACTGTATTGTGTGTGGTATACAATTTTATCTTAACTCTTTGTTGTGGGAGGGGATGCAGGCCATGTGATCAGAACTGGGCTTGTTCAGAACTCAGACTCCATTTTAGTACTGTATGCTTAGAGACTTCTGTAGGAACTGTATGTTTAGAGACTCCATTGAACTTTCAGACTAGACAGAGACTCTATTAAACTCTCAAAACAGAGAGATGCTTTATGGACTATTGATTCTAAGAATGATGCCCTGTGTAACCTACACAGAGAAATTACTTTAAATCTACTTGTAACTGGATTGATGTGCAAAGTACCCGTATGCTGAATACATGAGGTTTGTGAGTAAACCAACTATGTTACTTTTAAAGAAGTCTGCTTATTTTTTGTCTCTTGAGAGCATGATTTAAAGGAAGAGATGTTTTTTGGGCAACTAAAAGGAACACTTCTGAAACTCTGCCGAATATATATACATGTTTGTGCATTGGTATATCTTTGTCCCTAACCACTCAAAGACATATCTAGGTACATCAGTTTAACAGCTGAGAAACCTAGTTGCTTTGCATGCCATTTTCCCAAAAGGTTATGACTCTTTTATGCTTTTTACCAAGAGGTTATGGCATCATTTTTTCAAAAGGTTGTGACTTCTAACAAGGTCATCCCTTTCCAAAGATCATAAAATCTCCAAAAAGATTACAGATATTCCCATTTTTCAAAAAAAAAAGTCAGATTTAATTCTGAGATCAACAGTCTCTCCTAGTACTTCTGTCACTCCTGTTCACCTTCTTTGGAACTGCCGTTCACTTGTGTATTTTTTAAAAAAAAACAGTGTTGCAATTTCAGTGGAACAAGCCCTTCCCGGTATTCAGTGGCCTTGATCCTTCTGCTTGTGTAAAGCACAGATCATTTTACATGTCATTTTACAAAACATCCTGCAATTTATATAACATCCCTGTGACCACCCACCTCCTCCTCTGCCTACCATCATCAGCCCTGTCATTTTACTACCCTCAATAATCGTAATGCTGTTAAATATTGTGGGTTTTGTTGTTGTTTTGATTTCTGTCACATACCCTGGCCAGTTCTGCTGTTTCATGGAAGGCACAGGTCTCCAGGTTAGCTTCTGACTTGGGACAAGTTGTTCGCCCAACTTGAGCATCAATTTTATACTTGACTCCGGCAACAATCTGCAAAGACACAAAGACACCTTAAGAAACTGAGCTTTTTGTTATGAGGTGACAGGCATTCGCCAAAAGAGCTTCAGCAAATTGCACAAACCCGCCAGAAGATAATCAACCACAAGAATTAAATGGGAAATTCCAGGTTCAAAGTCAACATTTCTCTGAATACAAGACACAGATGCTGGATTTTTCCATGGAAAACTTTTCACACAGCTTTTTTTTATTCCACAAAATGTCTTGTTTCCCAGTTTTGCAAAGGGAAGTGAGTGGCTTGTGTCCACAGAGGGCCCTTTCAAACAGACCATATATTCCGGGATCTCATCCCAGGTTTTTTGTTTTAAACTGGATTATATGAGCACACTGCCAGATAATCTGGGATAAACAAAAAACTGGGATCAGATTGTGGGATATAGGGCCTGTCTAAAAGGGCCCAGAGTCACAAACAGTAGTGGAGAAAGACTGAGTGAAGCTGAAGGTACTTAGCAAAAGAAAACTAAAACAGCTAATCCATTTTAAATGGTTTTATTAAGACAAAAACATCCATACTAAAAAAACAACTATGTATTTGAATATAATGATAGAAAAACATAAACCCCCACAACTACACAAGACAAACAACAAAAAGCTTTTCCTGTTTATAAATGATATGATATCTTACTTCGTCTATTACAAACCCTTTCATACTTGTATCTCCACTATTTATTTGTCCTTCCTACTCTTCAAATCCCAGTGTTGATCATTTCCCCCCTTGTTCCTGCAAAAAGTCAATGACTGGCCTTTCATAAAACTACTCACTAACTTTTTCTAATTAAGAACTTATCTATTTCAGCAAGATCATACAGTTTCATTAACTACTCCTTTCATATTGTATTGTTCCATTTCTGTACTGCATGGTTCTTCCAAGGAGCTCCTGGTGGCGCAGTGGGTTAAACCCTTGTGCTGACAGGACTGCTGATCAACAGGTCAGCGGTTTGAATCCTGGGACAGCGGGTTGAGCTCCCTCTATCAGCTCCAGCTCCCCATGCAGCCACATCAGAGAAGCCTCCCACAAGGATGGTAAAACATCACGCATCCCGTGGGCAATGTCCTTGCAGATGACTAATTCTCTCACGCCAGAAGTGACTTGCAGTTGTTCAAGTTGCTCTACACACATACAAACAATGATTCTTCCATATTTTTAACTGTTAAACTCTTGATATAATACATGAGATACAACTTCACTTTAAGTATATGTCCTTAAAATTGTGTTCTTTTAAGTGAAGTGGGTTTTTGTGAAATACTAAGGATATGCATGCTATTTTCTCCATGTTATTAAAAATACAATAATTTCCACATCAGGAAACTGAGTGCTGTTGAACACACTGCAATATTTAAACAAAAAGTGCTAAATCTAGTAACGTTATTTAGAGCATTGTTGTCTGGATTTTTTTTCCAGTTCTCCTTTTTCTGGAAAACCAACACCCTGATACAAAGCACTCTACTTCTGAATATTTCCGAGGCATATGATTGGCAATAGTATGACAAAGCTGGCTGCTTATTGATA